GAAGCAAGGTCTGGCTCCTGCGCTGCAATGGGCCAGTAATGCGTGGAAGTTTGCTGCGAACCCGCTCATCAGAGACTCGCGTCCTCTCTCGGAGTTTGGGGGCTTATTCCGAGTCGTTCTTGACCATCCGCTAGCTAATTGGGGGTGGGTCAGAGGTCGCGCAGGTGCGGCAATTCTCAGTCCGCGGCGAACCCGGGCTCACGTGCGCTTTCGGAGATTCTTCGCCGGACATGGCCTAGTCTCTATTTCAAAAGGCATGGTTTAGATTGAATGACCATGCGGCTGCCGTCGAGCTAGGAACTCCGACGGATGAAGACTTGGACGCAGCCGTAGCTCGTTCTATCCTTGTTTCCTTGTCCACGTCAGCTCGCCACAAATGTCTGACCTGCGCATTTGTGTGCCAATGTTTCTGGGCCCAGCATCGTTTCCAGCAGCCTGGCTATGACTCTGGTAGTACGCGTGCGCGCGGGCATCGCAGTGGTGACCTACGTCGTCGTCGTCGCTTCCGCTGCCCGTGACGCGGCGCGCGAGGGGCGAATGGGTCGTGCGAGATGTTTGGGATATGTTCGCCCACCCCGACGTTATTAAGTTTTTGCTGCTGGGCTCCAGATCGCCCCAGATGTTGTCGCGTCTCCGCCAGAGGGATTCATTCGGGCGTGGAGGCTTCTCCTCGCGGTCTTGTGATGGCTCTCCTCCTGCGGTCGTCCTGGCAGGCGTTCTGTTCAGCGACGGCTCCGCGTTTAAAGACGGGCGCCCAAACTTCGCCGAGCTGGTTGGGGGCGCGTTGAACTTTCAGCGATTGGAGGAGTTTTCGCCAGGATGCGGGGCCGCGTTGAACTTTCAGCGATCGGAGGGGTTTTCGCCGGGATGCGGGGCCGCGTCGGAGATCTCCGGCCCCGAACCAGTCTGGCTCTGCCGAGCGCGCGGCGCCCCTCGCTGCCATTGCGCGCGTGCTTGCAGAGCGACCGATGCGAGAGCGGACTCTCTGGGTGAATTAGGCCTTCAAGTCAAGCCTGTAGAGAGCCCCTTTTATCGGCGTTCTTTTCATGCTGGTTTTAAGCTTCGGATTGCAGGTGCTGCTGAGTCGAAGGTGCCCTGCGCGAAGGTGCCTGCCCGTGTAGAGATCCTGCCGGTGTCCCAGAAGGGCCCCTAGATTCGATCCGCGCCTTGGGTAGCCAGCGGGCCAATGCAGCGGCCAAGCTAGGAGCAAATAGACATAACCAGCCATCGCCTGCTGAGTTCGATTTGCAGGATTCCATAACACGTGCGCTCACGACGTGCTTTGAATTCGTGGCTAGAGCGTCGGAGTGCTTCCCCCTGCCACGCAAGTATGGCGCCAGTGGCAAATGCCGCCGTCGAGCTAGAAAAGCGGCAGGGGAGGGCAGGTTTTCCAATTGCGCCTTCACTGTGGAGGTCCTGGGCGAATGCGGTTCAGATTATGCAACTGCGGTGCCATGAGCGGCGGCCAGCTGGGCTGGTGATGCCTCCGCCTCCTCCTCCGTTGTCCCCACCCACAGCGTCCGTATTCGATGCCGGCCCCATCTGGCACCCAAGCCCTTCGCCCAGACGCGGCGTCGGGACCAGCCTCGAACCAGTGGAAACTTATCAAGCCAAAATTCTGAAGTTGTGCAGTTTGCTACCAGCTTAGCTACGCTGAAATGTTTTCCACAACGGAAGCCTGCACTGGCCGCTCTGCCGTTTTCTGCGAAATTGTCGCAAACCCTCGTTTGCACAGGATGTATATCGCTTACCACGACTCTATTAGCTTGGTATTTCTATGCAGCTCCTGTTGAAGCGTCTGCGAGGACCAGAGAACCAGAGGCCTTCTGCAAGACTGTGGTGGGACTTTTGATTTTCAGAGCTCACACAACAGAACAACTGGAAATATATGCTTCATAAAATGGGCCCAATCCCCGCCGAAGGTGGCGCTAAGGTGCTAGACGAATCACTGTTGCTTTCCAGTTTCTTCAGCTTTCAGCTAGTTCAGCGTTCGCGGGAAACCCGGTTTTCGCCACAAGCGCTCAGCCAGTTTAGTCATTTCAGTCTTGAGATAGTTCCGAGCCAGGTGCAAATCCAAACAACTCTTCCACTCCTCCTCCTCACCCTCATCCCCTCCCTTCTCCTCCTCCTCGCCCTCTTCCCGCTCCCTTTCCGCCTTCTCCTCCTCTTCATCCCCCCCCCCTTCTCCCCTCCTCCCCCCCCCCCCCTCCTCCTCCTCCTCCTCCTCCTCCTCCTCCTCCTCCTCCTCCTCCTCCTCCTTCTCGAGCTGTGGTGGGCGCTGTCGGCGGTGGCGGGTGCAATGGCGGCGGTCGCGTGGGTGCGTGCCGCGTTGGCGCGGACACGGCGAGCGCAACGGCTGCCGACGTGCCCCTGGACGCCCTGGCTTTGCAGGAGGCACGGGGTCCCAAGGTCTCCGATGGCAATGTGCTGCGGAGGCGCCGCCGCAGGCAGAGGCCTGCGGAGCGGCGCGCCGCCGCGCGTGCTGAGGACACGGTGGGCGAGGACGGCGACACGATGAGCGATGTGGATGATGCGTCGGCGGGCGATATCCCTGGTCGTCGCCACGGCTGGAGGTGCTGCTGCTGGAGCTGGCCCGCGCGCTGCGGCGGCGAGCCCGGCGGAGGCGGTCGCTCGCCCTGATCGTGCGCGTGCTGGTGCGGCTCCCGCGGCGGCGCTGGCTGCCGGTCCCGGATCTGCGGCGGCCGCCGCGCTGGCGTCCTGCGGCCAGGACGCCCGTGCCGCGTGCTCGGCCGCGCGCGGGAGATCTCGCGCGTGGGGGGCCGCCGCCCTCTCGTTCTGCCCGCGGCGGGCGGGCCCCCCGAAACCACCAGCGGGCTCTGCTGCGCGGGGCCCGCGGGGGTGGGGCGGGCGGTGGGGGGGCGGCGAGGGCCGAACAGGTTTCGCTCGCGGTTGGCCCGCCGCCCCTTGGGCCCCTCGTCGCGCATGGTGGCGCCTGTCGGCGTGTTCGTGCTCGACGGCGCGGCCGGGGATGTGGCACGTCGGGTGGTGCCCAGCTCCCCGCGGCCGCGCGCGGCGGCGACTCCCCCCCCGAAAAGCCCAGGGTGGCTCGTCGGGCGGCCCGAGTGCATCGAACGGAGTTGGTCCAAGGGAGGATACATACAACACACGGGCCCGACAATCGGCGTTTATGAAACGGCCCTGCGCGTTTGTCAAGCAGCCCCGCCCTGTTCGATTCCTGCCCTGGGCGCGTGTACTAAACTGCTTCGCTGGTCGGGGTGATTATTCCGGGGGTGGATTTTCTGCCCGCCACTCGTGCCGGCTGAGTCCTCTTTGGTGGCGCGCGCTCTCTCTTTCTCTCCGGCGACGGGATGCCTCCGCGGCCCGGGGGCCAAGCCCGCTACGGCCCGAAAGATCGTAGCCTCCCGGCCACCCTAACCCAAACCCTCCCATCCCCTCTCATTTTTTGCTGTTTTTCTAAAACTCAAGGCTTCGGAAGGATTTCAAAATCGAGTGCCCCGAAAACAGAAAACATGGTTTCACAACAAGATGTTCAATGCAAGTCTGCGCTCGCGCTCATGCCGATTTTTCAGAAAACCATTGGTTTTCAACATGTCCATCAAATGCTTTCCCACCCTGACTACCTACCAGGCCACCCCAACCCAACCCGACGACCCTCTAGGCCTCCCACATGGGGTCCGAGTAGATGAGTTCGGAGGATCGCGCCGCACCGCCGACGCATCGCCGGTGCGGCTCGAGGTGAAGCCCGATTTGCTTCACGTCGACGTCGCCAATTCATCGCCCACTTCGACGATGCATCGCCAATGCATCGCCAGTGCATCGCCGATACTTCTCCGATGCAGCGCCGATGTATCGGCGATGTGGCGCGATCCTCCGACCCCATCTACTCCGACCCCACCCAGGAGGCCTCTCGATCCGAACTTCGGGTTGGGAGGGTACGGGTTCCATGTCTGTGTTTCTCCATGTTCCCCGACCCCTCCCCCACCACTGGGAATGGAGGGCAAGCTGAGGCCTTCGGGTTGGGATGGGGTGGTTTGGTGGGTGGTGTCTCCCCTCTCCTCCTAACTTTTTGTATGTCTCGTACTGCATGTATCCAGACACCTCACATCCTAGAGGCCATGGCCTCACCCACTTGGTCTGCTCTAGGCCCGGACGCTGTCCGCAACGGTGGTCGCATCGCATCGCATCGCCTCTCCCTCCCCGTCCCCAGTTGGGGCTCCGGTTTCTGGCCGAGCCCTCGATTTTTGCGGGGGGGGGGGGCACTTCGCGGCCGAGGCTGACCGCTGCCAGAGAAAACCCTTTCGCTGTCCGCTCGGAGTTCCCTGTGGCAGCACAATGGCTGCGTACACGAGCACCATCGACCAGGACAGCGTGTCTCTCGTGCGCCCGTAGAAGCTAAACGGAAGACGCGTCGGGGCGCTCTCGACTATCAACCGGGGCACCATCGAAGGGCCATCGGACACCATCGTGAGCCAGTTGGAACGCAACCGATCCGCCCTATGCCACCAGCTGCGCACCATCGGACGGACATCGGGGAACACGGCAGGCGCGGAGCACTGGCGGGGGCTTGCGGCAGGCTGCAAGACGGCCGCGGGGCGCCCGCGCGACAACGGCGGGACGCCCGGGGGCTTCGCAGCGTGCGCGCGTGGCGGACACAGATCGATCGAGACGTGCCTCTTGCTCTTCCTCCTCGTCCTCCTCCTCCCCCTTCCCCTTGCTCTCCCTTCCCCCTCTGGTCTCTTCTTCGTCTTAAGCATTTGGGCGACCTCCCCGATCTGGCAGTGGAGGGGCAAGGATGGAGCCGTTTCTGTTGTGTTGCCGCGGGCGCCCGATCTGCGCACCCCTCGGGCCTGGAACTGAGGCGGCGGGCGTCCAGCTCGCGCGCGCGCGCGTGTGCCTGGAAGCGCGAGCCCGCCGCTCCCCCACCCCCTCGTCCTCCTCCTCCTCCTCCTCCTCCTCCTCCTCCTCCTGCTTCCCCTCCCCCTTCCTCCCCCTCCTCGTCTTCTTCCTCCGCCCGCCAGGGCGTCTTCAGGGTGACGCTGAGGCACCCGACGAGGGACCTGTGCGACCCGTTCCTGATCGGGCGGAGGGCCCAGCACGCGCCGCCCAGAGATCCCGAGGCTCCGACGGAAACTGGAGGTGCGCCAGAGTTTGACAGTCTTCGACCTCTGGGAACCCTCGCCCAGCCCCGGGACCGTCAAGAAACTCCTCCTCCTACTCCTCCTCCCTTTCCCCCTTCGTCTTTCCCCCGGCGTTCGTCTCGCGACATCCTTGGCGAACAGCTCTTCTCAGTTGCTGCAGCTGGGCTTGGTGCGTCGCAGGGTATGATTTGCTCTGCCGTTTTCGGCCCATGTATCTGCCGGTTTTGCAGCAGGGGTGGACCTAATGGTGTTTTGGCGATTTCGTGGGCCGTTTTCGTTTCGATGTCGGTTTGCAGCGACGGCGCATTCAAGACAAAATGAGGGAAAACGAAAACAAAACGAAAACGAAAACACTGTTGATGTCCAGCCTGTTTCGCAGAGCGGCCAGATGTTTGCCGTTTTCGGCCTCTGGGAACACTCGTCAGGCCCCGGGACCTTCAAGAAACTATTCGGGAGCGGTCGTGGGGAGGGGGTGCAGACTCCCGGAGGTCCACATCGAAGCGGTTGGAACGCGGGATGTGTGGGTCGCTCCCTCTTCGGGTCGATCCAAAAGGGGGTCCAGCGACAAGGGGGTGGTGCAATAGATTTGGGGGTTGCAACACATTTGGGGCGTGCAATACATTCCGGGGCGCAAATGTACTGCTGTATTTTCGCGTGCAATGCATTACTTGCAATACAATGCAATACAATTCTCCAGCGCAGAACATTCGCAATACAATTGCCCCAAATCTATTGCACAACCGCCTTTCAGCTGCACCCCCTTCTGGGTCACCCAAACCTCTCCTGCCTCCTCCTCCTCTATCGCACCAGGCGGCCATGCAGCGACAGGATCATCGAATCGGCTGGCCGGCTCGTCCGCTTTTCCCCGTGCCTGTCCAGCAGGGAGTCACATGCGAACCCTACCCCTACCCCCCACGATTTCTCAGGGGGAGGGTGGGGTTCACTTCGTTCGGGAGCTCCCGAACGAAGAGAACCCCGTCCTCCCCCTCAGAAACCGTGGGGGTAGGGGTAGGGTTCGCATGTGGCCCCCTATCCATGTATCGGTACGACCGTGATAGGTACGGAAAGAATGGGAACGAAGATTGACGGCAGGTTTTGCTCGATTTTTTACAGGGTGTCGTTGTCAGTGCCTCAGAGGGCAGTGTTCAGTTGAGACAGAGAACCGCCTGCCCAACAGCGTCCGCTGTAGGTTTGAGACAGCATGTGTTGCATCGTGCTACTTTTTTCCGTACCCGTTGAGGGCGTCCAAATTATATTGTTATAATATTGTTAGATTTGTCGGCCCCGCGGCGACACTGCCTAGCCCTAGCCCCTCTTTAGGGCCGCCCTCGGGACGAACCAGCGTAGTATCTAGTGCCCAGTGTTTTTTTATGTTAAAACGGTGTTGCCCTTCTCAGGGCGCCCAACATGTCATAGTGAGGGGGCCGAACGGTCATTCACTGTCCCTGGGAGCGTGGCTGAAGTGGGATTCCGCGATGCGGATTCTTGTTGTTGTTGTTGTTGTTGTTGTTGTTGTTGTTGTTGTTGAACATTATTAATTCTAAAGAATAATTATTGTTGGGACCCCTGGTGCACGGCCCCCCTGCGCCGCCTAGGCCGCAGCTACATTTTCATCATTTTCGTGAGGAAGCCTCAGGTAATTCGATGTGATCAAGATCCGGTTGTTTTGTTCCCCCCCGCTTTCCCTTGCAAAAAACACTATAAAATGACATTTCTTGTTCTAATATAATCAAATTTCAAGAATCCCTTGCAAAAAATAAGGTAAAGTGGACATTCGCGCGCGCAAGACGAAATCCTTCCAAAAGCTTAGTGTTCGGAGCGATTTTAACATAAAAACATCAAAAAACCAATGGTTTTTCAACAAAAAATGTCAAAATCTCATCCCGCGCGCTCTTGCGGATTCGTAGGAAACCCAACACTTTTTAAACATTTCTGTCAAACGGGCTTTTGCGAGCAACTTTTTCGAACTTCTGCGACAACGGTTGCGCACCTGCCAGGGCCATCATCCCTGTCAAATAATACCATGCGGGACACATTCGTTTTTTCTTTCCGTGCGCACGCCGAAATCTTCAAAAACCATTGGGTTTCGTAGGAATTTTAGCACCGCGCAACATAAAATCATTTTTCGCACCGTAGGCCCTTCAAATCGTCGTCGTCGTATACTAAGCTAGTTTCCACAAGATGTTACCACAAGAAGTCATTGAAACCATGCGCCAGTGTAGTAGCCACGGTCGTCCGCATGCCACGAAGTGAAGTGTCCGAACGTCATAGGGCGGGAAGCTGGGTGTGGGTGGTGGCGAAGAGTCGTTTGGAAATGTGGTAGAGCTTGAACCGGCCCCCCCACAAAGTGGGGGTATTGGCGGGCGTCGTATGAAAACCCTTGCACTGGTGAGAACACTGAGCGTTCGGGTAAAATGATTGTTGTTGTTGTTGTTGATGGTGTTGTTGATGATGATGTTGTTGTTGGCGGTGGTGGTGTTGTTGTTGAGGTTGGCTGTTGTTGGTGTTGGCGAGGTGGTTGTTGTGCTTGTTGCCATCGTTGTTGTTCTTATTGTTGTCGTTGCGCTGGTTGTTGTGGTTGTTGCTGCTGCTGTTGTTGACGTTGCCGTTGTTGATGGTGTTGAAGTTGATTGTGCTATTAATGTTGCTATTGTTGTTGTTGTTATTGTTGTTGCTGTTGTTATTGTTGGGTTTGTTGTTTGTGTTCTCAGTGTGTTTGTTGGTGTTCTTAGTGTTGCTGATGTTGTGTTTGCTGTTGTTAGTGTTGCTTTTGTTTGTTTTCTGGTTTGTTTGGCCGATTATTATTATTATTGGTGTTGGTGTTGTTGCTGTATTGTTGTTGCTGCTGTTTGTTGTTTCTTTGGTTGTTTGTTTGTTGTTGTTGCTGCTGTTGTTGGTGTTGTAGTCTTTGTGGTGGTTGTGGTTATGGTTGTTGTTGTTGTTGTTGTTGTTGTTGAACATTATTACTTCTAAAGAATAATTATTGTTGGGGCCCCTGGTGCACGACCCCCCCGCCGCGCCTAGGCCGCAGCCTCATTTTCATCATTTTCGTGAGGAAGTCTCAGGCAAAACGGGTTGGTCCGGATCCGGTTGTGTTGTTACGATCGGTTTTCCCTTGCAAAAAATAAGCTGAAGTGGACATTTCTTGTTCTAACATAACCAAACTTCAAGAATCCCTTGCAAACAATAAGGTAAAGTGGACATTCGCGCGCGCAAGACGAAATCCTTCCAAAACCTTAGTTTTCGTAGCGATTTTAACATAAAAACATCAAAACACCAATGGTTTTTCAAAAAAAAATGTCAAAATTTCATCCCGCGCGCTCTTGCGGATTCGTAGGAAACCCAACACTTTTTAATCATTTCTGTCAAACGGGCTTTTGCGAGCAACTTTTTCGAACTTCTGCAACAACGGTTGCGCACCTGCCAGGGCCATCATCCCTGTCAAATAATACCATGCGGGACACATTCGTTTTTTCTTCGCGCGCGCACGCCGTCGTCGTCGGCCGCGGGGCCCTGAATAGTAGCCACGGTCGTCCGCATGCCACGAAGTGAAGTGTCCGAACGTCATAGGGCGGGAAGCTGGGTGTGGGTGGTGGCGAAGAGTCGTTTGGAAATTTGGTAGAGCTTGAACCGGCCCCCCCACAAAGTGGGGGTATTGCCCGCCTCCTATGAAAACCCTGGCACTGGTGAGAACGGAGTGTCCCCACGTGCTAGTAATTGTTGTTGTTGTTTGTTGTTGAACATTATTAATTCTAAAGAATAATTATTGTTGGGCCCCCTGGTGCGCGCCCCCCCTGCCGCGCCTAGGCCGCAGCCACGTTTTCATCATTTTCGTGAGGAAGCCTCAGGTAATTCGATGTGATCAAGATCCGGTTGTTTTGTTGTAATCCGCTTTCCCTTGCAAAAAACACTATAAAATGACATTTCTTGTTCAAATATAATCAAATTTCAAGAATCCCTTGCAAAAAATAAGGTAAAGTGGACATTCGCGCGCGCAAGACGAAATCCTTCCAAAAGCTTAGTGTTCGGAGCGATTTTAACATAAAAACATCAAAAAACCAATGGTTTTTCAACAAAAAAATGTCAAAATCTCATCCCGCGCGCTCTTGCGGATTCGTAGGAAACCCAACACTTTTTAAACATTTCTGTCAAACGGGCTTTTGCGAGCAACTTTTTCGAACTTCTGCGACAACGGTTGCGCACCTGCCAGGGCCATCATCCCTGTCAAATAATACCATGCGGGACACATTCGTTTTTTCTTCGCGCGCGCACGCCGTCGTCGTCGGCCGCGGGGCCCTGAATAGTAGCCACGGTCGTCCGCATGCCACGAAGTGAAGTGTCCGAACGTCATAGGGCGGGAAGCTGGGTGTGGGTGGTGGCGAAGAGTCGTTTGGAAATTTGGTAGAGCTTGAACCGGCCCCCCCACAAAGTGGGGGTATTGCCCGCCTCCTATGAAAACCCTGGCACTGGTGAGAACGGAGTGTCCCCACGTGCTAGGAATTGTTGTTGTTGTTGTTAGAATAATTATTGTTGGGGCCCCTGGTGCACGGCCCCCCTGCGCCGCCTAGGCCGCAGCTACATTTTCATCATTTTCGTGAGGAAGCCTCAGGTAATTCGATGTGATCAAGATCCGGTTGTTTTGTTCCCCCCCGCTTTCCCTTGCAAAAAACACTATAAAATGACATTTCTTGTTCTAATATAATCAAATTTCAAGAATCCCTTGCAATAAATAAGGTAAAGTGGACATTCGCGCGCGCAAGACGAAATCCTTCCAAAAGCTTAGTGTTCGGAGCGATTTTAACACATAAAAAAACCAATGGTTTTTCAACAAAAAAATGTCAAAATCTCATCCCGCGCGCTCTTGCGGATTCGTAGGAAAACCAACACTTTTTAAACATTTCTGTCAAACGGGCTTTTGCGAGCAACTTTTTCGAACTTCTGCGACAACGGCGTCGCACGGATCCCCTGAGCCGCGCCGGCCGCAGCTAACATTTTTCTCTTTTTCGTGAGGAATCCTCAGGTATTTCGATGTGATCAAGATCCGGTTGTTTTGTTCCCCCCCGCCCGTTCCCTTGCAAAAAACACTATAAAATTACATTTCTTGTTCTAATATAATCAAATTTCAAGAATCCCTTGCATAAAATAAGGTAAAGTGGACATTCGCGCGCGCAAGACGAAATCCTTCCAAAAGCTTAGTGTTCGGAGCGATTTTAACATAAAAACATCAAAAAACCAATGGTTTTTCAACAAAAAAATGTCAAAATCTCATCCCGCGCGCTCTTTGCGGATTCGTAGGAAACCCAACACTTTTTAAACATTTCTGTCAAACGGGCTTTTGCGAGCATTTTTTTCGAACTTCTGCAACAACGGTTGCGCACCTGCCAGGGCCATCATCCCTGTCAAATAATACCATGCGGGACACATTCGTTTTTTCTTCGCGCGCGCACGCCGTCGTCGTCGGCCGCGGGGCCCTGAATAGTAGCCACGGTCGTCGCATGCCACGAAGTGAAGTGTCCGAACGTCATAGGGCGGGAAGCTGGGTGTGGGTGGTGGCGAAGAGTCGTTTGGAAATTTGGTAGAGCAAATTTGTAGAGATTGAACCGGACCCCCCACAAAGTGGGGGTATTGCACGCCTCCTATGAAAAACCCTCGGCACTGGTGAGAACGGAGTGTCCCCAGTTTAAATGATTGTTGTTGGTTGTTGTTGTTGTTGTTGTTCGGCGGTCGTCCCCCCGCGTCCCTGCCGCGACCACCCTCGACCGCCCGCGACCCGAACCAGACCACCCGCGACTGCCCGCCGTCACGCGATGGGGCCCGCCGATCCACCTGCGAACCACCCGCCCACCCGCGACACCGCGACCGACAGGACCATCTCGCGGGACCCACCCGCCATCCACCCCGCCACCCACCCGCGATTCACCTGCGACCTACTACGCGACCCACCCGCACTGTTGTAACGAAAAATCGGCGCCTGCGGCGGGCTCGTTGTCAGGGTGAGGGGGCCGAATGGTCATTCACTGTCCCTGGGTGCGTGGCTGAAGTGGGATTCCGCGATGCGGATTCTTGTTGTTGTTGCTGTTGCTGCTGCTGCTCAAGTTGTTGTCGTTGTTTTTGTTTGATTGTTGTTGCTGTTGTTATTTGGCGTCGTCCCCCCGCTACCCTGCCCGCGAACCACCCGCGACCCACCCCGCGACCCCGCCCGCGACCCACCCGCGACCCACCCCGCGACCTACCCGCTACCCGCCCGGGGCCCGCCTGCGACCCGGCCGGGACCCACCCACGACCTACCCGCGACCCATCCGCGAACCACCCGCGACCCACCCCGCGACCCACCCGCGACGGGGCCCGCGAACCACCCGCGACCCACCCGCGACCTACCCCGCGACCCACCCGCGACCCACCCGCGACCCACCTGCGACCCACCCGCCACCCACCCCGCGACCCACCCATATTGCTGATAGCGAAAAATCGGCGCCTGCGGGCTCGTTGTATCATTTGTAAGTATGAAGCACCTGCGGCGGGCTTCTTCAGAGCCTCGCAGACTGCAGTCGTCCAAGCCGCCCCTTCACTCTCATCCGCGACTGCGGCGGGTGTGTGTGTGTACATATATATATACACACATGTAGATTGTAAGAATTTGGCGCCTGCGGCGGGCTGCTTCAGAGTCTCGCACACTGCAGGCGTCCCCGCCGCCCCCTCTGTCTCATCGGCAACTGCGGGGTGGTACAGATTGTTTTATTTCTCGGCGCCGCAGCGACAACGCCTAGCCCTAGCCCCCTTTTAAGGACCGTCCTCGGGACGAACAAGCGTAGTGTCCAGTGCTCCAAAACGATTTGGTAGACGTGGCATCAGCAGCGCGATTGCATACAAAAACAAGAAACTTAACGTGCAACAGCAGGAATCGCATGGTGACAAGAAGACAGCCTTTGTCTCGTCCTCATCCTTCGAACTTCGATCTGCGGGGCGGTCTGCTGCGATGACGGGCCCTTCTCGTCACCCTCCGCTTCATGCTTTGGCACTGTGAGTTAGTGCCCGCCGACTGGATCGCAGTGGGTCCCCTCTCCCAGTATCCCCCGTCGTCCCGTCGTTGGATTTCGATCTCGCTTCCGCGGCCCTATCGAACCCCGTCTGGTGTTGTCCTGGGAGCTGGCGATGTCAGCAGGGGGTTCGTATTGACCATTCGTGTTTTCGCCACCCGGATTGGGCCACCCGTGTTTTCCAAGATGGAGTTCGTTTGAATCACGATACCTTGTTGGAGTTAGTGTCGTGTGGAGGCCCTCTCGAGCCCAGGGCCGCCTCGAAGGCCGATCTTCCCCCCCTGAAGCCAGGCCGTCTCGGACTGCCGCAGCCGATCCAGACAGCCTCGCGTCGACGCGTGGTAAAACAAAACATCACGACGGGAGGTTTGGACACTTGCCGACATCCCGAAACAGTTGTTGTGTTTGTTGTTGGTGTTCTTAGTCTTGTTGTTTGTGGTGTTCTTAGTGTTGTTGTTGTTGTTGTTGTCGTCGTCGTCGTCGTCGTCGTCGTCGTCGTCGTCGTTGTTGTTGTTGTTGTTGTTGTTGTTGTTGAACATTATTTCTTCTTAAGAATAATTATTGTTGGGACCCCTGGTGCGCGACCCCCCCGCCGCGCCTAGGCCGCAGCCACGTTTTCATTATTTTCGTGAGGAAGCCTCAGGCAAAACGATGTGATCCAGATCCGGTTGTGTTGTTACGATCGGTTTTCCCTGGCAAAAAATAAGCTAAAGTGGACATTTCTTGTTCTAACATATCCAAACTCCAAGAATCCCTTGCAACAAATAAGGTAAAGTGGACATTCGCGCGCGCAAGACGAAATCCTTCCAAAACCTTAGTTTTCGTAGCGCTTTTAACATAAAAACATCAAAAAAACAATGGTTTTTCAAACAAAAATTGTCAAAATTTCATCCCGCGCGCTCTTGCGGATTCGTAGGAAACCCAACACTTTTTAAACATTTCTGTCAAACGGGCTTTTGCGAGCAACTTTTTCGAACTTCTGCAACAACGGTTGCGCACCTGCCAGGGCCATCATCCCTGTCAAATAATACCATGCGGGACACATTCGTTTTTTCTTCGCGCGCGCACGCCGTCGTCGTCGGCCGCGGGGCCCTGAATAGTAGCCACGGTCGTCCGCATGCCACGAAGTGAAGTGTCCGAACGTCATAGGGCGGGAAGCTGGGTGTGGGTGGTGGCGAAGAGTCGTTTGGAAATTTGGTAGAGCTTGAACCGGCCCCCCCACAAAGTGGGGGTATTGCCCGCCTCCTATGAAAACCCTGGCACTGGTGAGAACGGTGTGTCCCCACGTGCTAGTAATTGTTGTTGTTGTTGTTGTTGTTGTTGTTGTTGTTGTGGTTGTTGTTGTTGTTGTTAGTTAGCATTATTGTTGTGGTTGTTGGTTGTTGGTTGTTGGCTGTTGGTTCTTGCTGTTGTTGGGCAGTTGCCGACATCCTGCAGCCACTGGATGCCCAGGACGACGAGCCCGTCCCCGGGGCCCGGACCTCCGGGGAGAGGCACGCGGCGAACCCAGAGCACGTGCTCCCCCGGGGCCCGCTTCCGCACTGCGCTTCCTGCTCCGTCGCGCAGGGCCCCCCCTTTTGGGTTGTGTGCCAAGACTCTAGACCTCCCAAATGGGGTCCAAGTAGATGGGGTCGGAGAATCACGCCGCATCGCCGATGCATCGTCGATGCGGCTCGATGTGTAGCCCGATTTGCTTCACGTCGACGTCGCCGATGCATCGCCCACTTCGACGATGCATCGCCGGTGCATCGCCGATGCATCGCCGATGCATCGCCGATGCATCGCCGATGTATCGGCGATGCGGCGCGATCCTCCGACCCCATCTATTCCGACCCCATCTAGGAGGCCTCTAAAGACGGGGGGGGGGTCGCCCTGCCTGTAGGGTTCAGTCGGGCCTGTCGCTCTACAGGAGGACTCTTCGAACACAGGCAAATGATAGTATGTGAACTATTCTTAAAAAACATGTGTTCTGGATCTTTGGGTGCATGTTTGTGGTATCTCTATTAGTTCGCCCCAAATCCGCCTTCAGGGGGACAGGCCCGACCTAATTGTGGGGGGCACCCGCGTGGCTCCCGACAGGCCACCTGCGTCTGCGGGTTGGCCCGAGCTGAGTTATCCTGGCGAGCTGAGCTGTACGATGCTGTTCTACGAAGTGGGCGCTTGGCACTCCGATGCAACTGTCTTGTCTTGCCTTGTCCGCCTGCTCTGCTACTCTTAGTTCCGTACTCGGCGGTATTTCCCTTTCCCGTTCCCTCCTCCTAGGGGAACGAAGAATAACATAAACATACAAACTCGGAGGTTCGCTCGGATGTCTCGGATCGGCGCTGGACCCCCTTCGTTACCTTACCCTCGACCTCCAGAGACGCCCTGAGGTGCGAGGCCAACTTCACACCGATGTCCGAGCTGACGTGCCTCCGCCCCCCCCGCCGGCGCGCCCAGGCACGCTCAGGCTCAGCAGGAAGAAGATCAGCAGTTGGGGCAGCAGGTGGAGCAGCGACAGGAGGAGAAGGAAGAGGAGGAGGGGGAGGAGGAAGAGGAGGAGGAAGAGGAGGAGGAGGAGAAAGAGGAGGAGGAGGAAGAGGAGGAGGAGGAGCAGGAGGAGGAGGAGAAATATGATGAGGAGCGGGAGGACGTAGGCTTCGAGGGAACGAAGACATGGATTGAGACGCATCGATTAGCGACGGGCCCCCCGTTCCCGTGCAGAATCGGCGCGCTCCGCTTCGAAATGAGGCGGCACCGGCGCCATGCTTCGGGGGCTGCGTCCCCCGATGCATGGATTTGGCGCCCGGGCACCGGGTCCACGGATCCCTCAGCAGTGCCGGCGTGTGGCCGACAGGAGCAGGAGGTTGGAGGCGAGAGACTTCGTGCCCCGGCATCTCTGTGCACGTGTGGACGGATGTGTTCGGCTTCGGTCTCCGGCGCAGCCTGCAGCAGCGAATGATGGGCTTGTTTTTTACTACCGCTACCATAAGTTGTTGGGGAAGGGAAGAGGGTGGAGGAGGAGGAGGACGAGAAGGAGAGGGAGGAGGAGGAGGAGGTGGAGGAGGAGGAGGTAGGAGGAGGAGGAGGAGGAGAGGAGGAGGAGGAGGACGAGGAGGAGGAGGAGGAGGAGGAGGAGGAGGAGGAGGAGGAGGAGGAGGAGGAGGAGGAGGAGAGGAGGAGGAGAGAAGAAGAAGAAGAGGAGGAGAGGAGGAAGGAGGAGGTGGAGGAGGAGGAGGAGGACCCCCCCCCCTCCTACTTGTGGCAGTGGTAGTGGACAACAGGGCCATCAGCGGGAGCAGGACTGCGGGGAGAGCGCGGGAGGAGCAGGCGATACGCGGGACGGGCAGGAGCAGCGGCGGGAGGAGCACGGCGCGGAGGAGCGGGGCGTGGGGCGGGCCGCGGCAGGAGTCAGGGGCAACGTTCGGAGGGGACATGCCCGAGCTTCGAGTCTCGAGGTCTTCGGACCTTCTCGTCGGTTCTCGGCTGCTGTCCAGTCGGGGGACGCCTTCCAACGGCTGCGCCTCGCCGAGAGCGCTCTGCGGGTGCCCAAGACCGTTCCGGACGGCCGCCGAGGACCCCAGCCATGGCCCGAAAGCCAAGGGCCAGTGTTAGGGGGGACGAGCTCATGGCCAGCCTCGAGCTTATCCCCATCCCTAAGATTGACACGCCAAAAGGCGATGACAATCTTAGGGATGCACCCTCAGAAAATGAGGGAATCTCTAAGATCGGCATCGTGACGACGCGATGCCCAGCATAGGGATAGGGATATGTTTCCAGCTGGTAAGCTCAGGGGGGTTGCATGGACTCCTCATCGCCCATGGTTCGCTGACAGGGGCCCGAAAGTCCACCCCGCCCAGGAGTTTGAGGATTCGGCACCGGGGGCCTATCGTTAAGTCGGGCCTGTCCCTCTACAGGAGGGAAATTCAAACATAGTAAAAAAATAGCCTGGGGACTATTTTTTGATTATGTTTGGGCATCTTTGAGTATTTTCGAGTATTTTTTATGTTTCGTCGGAAATCCCCTGTAGGGGGACACGCCCGACTTAAGCCTATCGCCGACTTATCGGTGCTGTATCGCCGATTCCAGCTTGATGCTTCCCCCACTGAGCCAATCCCCCCCTCACCCTTCCCATCAAGACGGAGGATCCTTTCCTCGCCGTCCTCAGCGAGTGTTGCCCAGAGGGCTTGCGCGTGTGCGACGGTCGAGGGAAACAATTCTTGAACACCCCCCCCGGCCCCCCAAGCTCAAAGTTGGCACGCGCGGGGGAGATTGCGGTCGAGGTGCAGCTCATCGGACCCACCGCCAGCTTTGAACATAGGGGGGAGGGGGAGGCGTTGACAGATGAATGTGGCATGAGTGTTCGCTATTTTTTTCCGAGGCCTGGAGCGTGCGCGTCTGTCTCAGGCGTGGCGGCCTGAAGGAGTTGTTCACTCGAGCCCAGGCAAGCGGGGGCCCAGGCAGCTGGGGTCCCAGAGAGGTCGAGCGGCTGGCGTGCCGCTTTGTCTGGATCTGAGGCCAGAGGCCTTGTGAGGCGCCCTCGGGGGTCTCTGGATCAGGAGGGCAGCATAGCCGCCAACACACAGACGATGACCTCCATGATAATATCGAAGACGCCCACGGCGAATCACCGCCGCCCACCGCCTTTTGGAATCGCCCCGAGCGTTGTGGCAAGAGCTCTGCCAAGCTATCGGACCATGTGGCCCCCCAGCCGTTGTGGAAAACCTTCGGGGAACACCTGGGGAAGGATGACGGGGAAGATCAGGAGGAGAAAGAAAAAGGAGGGAGCATCTTGGGAGCCTCTTGGGGCACTCTTGGGGCCTCCTGGGAGCTTCCTGGGAGCCTCTTGGAGGCATCTTGGGAGCCTCCTTGGGCCTCTTGGCCCTTGTTGGGGCTCTCGGAGGCTTCTTTGGCCGTCTTAGGGCATTCCTGGCCCGTCTGACGCCGTGTTGGGGGCCTCACTGGGCCGACTTGGGGTCCTCTTGGATGCCCTGCAGGGTTGTGGCGGTGCGCCCGACGAGTGGTCGCGGGGCGCCCACGCATGCTCCGGATTTGGATGCGAAGTGCTGCTTTCTGAAAGGGTCGTCGGGTTTGCGCGCATTTTGTGCGCAGCAATCATCATGCCGGCAACCCCGCCGTTCCGGTCAAAAACCAACGCAGAGTGGTCGCGGCGCGCCTGCGCATGCTCGAAATTTGGAGGCATGGGGGGTGGGGTGGGGGTGGCGTGTCCCGGGTTGGCCCGCGGTCGGGCGGGGGAGGGGGTGTTTTTTTCAATGCGGAGCATCGAAACCCTTCCCGATCAAGGCAAGGAGGGGTCGAGGCTGGGAGCGGGAAGGCAGGGGAAGGGTCGCGGGTGGACAGACCTCCTACCCTGACGTGTCGATTAGTGAATTGTGCTTTTTCGGTTCTCGAGAGGGCGCCGCGGCCGTTATTTTCCAGGCAAGCGCCCGCCAGGTTTGGGCCCGAGGCCGTTTTTATCAAACCACGGTTTGCTAAAGGGAGGTCTGCCCATGCCCGAAACGGGGGGTCGAGGCTGGGAGCGGAACCGATGGTCGAACCGCTCCACCAGGAAGGCCGGTAGGATCCTAGCCCTTTGGGCTTCGTCCTGCTGCTCTTCCGCCTCCCGGGCGGCGTTGTCCTGCTTGTTGGCCGAGACCTCGGGGGCCCGCGGGTGCAGGGCCTGCGCTATATGGGCGTGCGGCTGGCTGCGGCGGTCCTGAGGCTACTCTGCGCCGGCCAGGAGCCCCTGAGTCAAAACAGATGCCCAATCCCAAAAACGCGAGGGCCAAGGACAAGATGCAGGCTCCTCGAGACTTCGGGGAGGGAGGTTTTGGGGTAGGGTTTTGCCAGGGCGACGACGACGAGCGCAACACATACCCCGAAATCTTTGGCCGATCTTCGAATCCTCGGTGAATCCGCGATTCTAGGATTGGGGATTTGTTTTTTCGTGGTCAAGGAGCCCAAGAACGCTGGTGGCCGTGGCCGTCGTCTGCCTCTCGGATGTTGCCAGAGGTGCCCCTGGCTCGGGGTGCAGCCGGGAAGTTTCGAGGATCGCCGAACGCGCTCCACTGCTCGTTACGTGCCCGCGCGCAAACGTCCCTCCCAGGAATGTCTGCCTCGATGCAGTGGATCGTAAATCACCCGCGGCGGGTCCATGCCATTTGCGAGTAGCCCACGGCCTCCAGAGCACTCTTTCGCGAGGCCCGGAAGGCCCCAGGGCCTACATCACAGAGCGCGCAGCTGGGGCTCCCTGGAGGAGCCAGGGGCACCTTCTGGCGACCCCCGGAAACCTCATCGCCCAGGCCCTGCTGCACGGGAGGCCGCTGCTGGCGGCCTGCCTCTTCCGCGCCGGCTGGACCGCCAGCGCGCTGTACCGCGCGGGTTTCCCGGCGGCCGCCCTGGTGGACGCGTGTCTGCCGGAGAGCGCCTTGGCGGGGTCCCCCGACATCCGACGCGGTGTTTTTTTCGGCCTGCGCCCCGGGGGCCGCGACCACGCCCCTGGGGGGACACGCCCGACCTGAAGCCAGGAGGGCGTGTGCACCGATCCTGGGCCCAGGATGAGCCTGGCCTGGGCCAGTGCATGTGCACAGCTGGCGTCCTCCCGGGTTTAGGGGAACGAATAATGATAATACTCCACGCGGAGATCCCCATATGTGCATCTCATTGTGATGGCATGCTTCGGTAGGAGGCATTGTCCTTTCCGATATCTGAGTGTCAGCGAATTCATGTGGAAGGCGAAGCCGAGAGAGACGCCGACGACTACGACTGCTTTAACTAGTTGCTGCCTCCTTCTTTCCTCCTCCTCTTCCTCCTCCTCACTGTCCTCGTCTTTCTCCTCCTTTTCCTCTGAACACCTATCAGGGCGCCGAAAACTGCTGCCAAGGAGACAAGCCGCCTGAGACATCCCTCCAATCTGGGCGCGAACGGGCCCGTGATATACCCCCTGGCGCCCCCCCTTGGACGTACTGAGACCAGCGCCTCGCCTGAGACATCCTCGGGAACTGCTCCGAACGAGAAGGATGTTGAGCACCCAAGCAAGCACACCGCCTGAGACATCCCCCCAATCTGGGCGCGAACGGGCCCGTGATATACCCCCTGGCGCCCCCCCTTGAGAGTACAGAGACGCCTCGCCTGAGACATCCTCTCAACGTGTGTGTGAGTCTGAGCGCGGAAGTACCAAGAGTGTGAGTGAATCTGCATATTTGTGATCCCGAGTATGAGAAACTTGAGCATCAGGAGTCTAAGAACGAGTGCATCTGAGTATGAGTGAGTCTGCATATGAGTGAGTCTACGTGTGAGTGGGTCAGTAAATGATGACCTGAGGGTGTGAGGTGTTCTCTCATTCTCCGTGAGGTGAAAGTAATAACACGATCCCCATCCTTAGGGGATGGGGAGCAAGCATAAAAGCTCGGAGGTCCGCGCGGACCTC